TGCATTGATTATTTAGAAGAGAGAAGGGACTTGCCCAATTTTCTCTCTTCAATTGGAGAACATATACGTTCTAGAATTGTTTCTTTTGAATAATATAATTTATTATTCTATATATCATTTAATAAAATTATAATTATTTCTTTTCTGTAACTTTTGAAAAAAATTCATAAGCAAAATAATAATTGTTAGATTAGAAAAATATAATACTCACTGCTGATAATCACCTCTGGATGTATTTTGATTAAAGTGGTCAGCATTTTCATTACTTCTGGCAGTATTTAATTAAAATTGGGCAGTAAAAAATATAATTTTGCAAGTTTTATAGTGATTTTGTATTCAGTCAGTTAAATTCTTAAAGTAGGTAAATACTTCAGTAAAATAATTTTTATCAAATAGAGGGTATCAGATTGAATTGCTAATTTCCTATTTCGCCACAAAATTTATTAAATTATATTATTTAATAGTTTATCCTTGTAAAAACAAAAGTGGGCGCTATTTAAGAGTCAGTAAACTGTGAAAAGCCTTTTATCATATTTCTAAAAAAATGATTAAAATTTGTGTAAAAATAATTTTTCAATAAATACCTAAAAGTTGATGAAAGTGTGTAAAGGTGAACTAGATTTATTTAACTTTCGTTTTATTATTTAAAATCTCAAATCCTCGAAGAAATTTGACTTTAAAAAACATTTCTATTTAATTAAATACTGCAGAGCAGATCTGGGTCACGGGATTTTTTTTCCGGGGAATTATTTTCCTAGATTCAAATTTACTAGTAATATAATTTGAAAATTGTTCATTTTTGTTTTATATATCTATAAATACATATAAAACATAATCCCAAAAAATTATTTTCAAAATATTTTTTAGGATAATGCTTAGCACGTAAATATACACGTATAAAACAAAAATGAAGAGATTTTGATAAATAACGCCAGCAACATTTACTTTAGAAAATTTCCATTGTTTTACTATTCTAAACCTACTCATAAATTAAACATTAAAGAAACCTAAAATTTTTTTTTAATTTTTAGGTTTTTCATATGTATATATACCCAAATATAAAAAAAAGTGCTATCCAATCATCATTCCGTTTCCTAAAATGATACATATTAAAACATATAACGCCCTCTTACGGATATATATTTGTTAATTTTTAAAATTGAATAAAATGTATATTTGTTTTAATAAGCTAGAAAAATAAATTTCTTACTAATAATATTAAATAAAAATAAAATTATATACTATATCATTTAATCAGTATTCTTCATTTATAATAAAAAAATGATTTAAATATATTTTTAAAAAAGTTTAAAAAATTATCATTAAAAAAATATACGTAATAAATTTTTGATTGATTTATAATTGATTATGATTTATTGCTTTTTAGCAAAGCAGTTTAGCAATGTAGCAATTCAATATATAGTGGGGAAATTTTTTCCGGGGAATTATTTTCCAGGGGGATTTTATTCCGGGGATTTTTTTTCCGGTGAATTATTTACCTGGGAATTATTTTCTGGGGAATTTTTTTCCGGGGAATTATTTTCCGGGTATTTTTTTTCCAAAGAATTATTTTCCTGGGGATTTTTTCCCGGGGAATTAATTTCCGGGGATTTTTTTTCCGGGGATTTATTTTCCGGGATTTTTTTTCCGGGGAATCATTTTCCGCTTACCCTTATTTGGACCTTGAAAATATTTTTAGGAATAGGTATGATAATTTAATTTAAAAATAAATATACAGTTGATTAGTCATTTTGAACTCGGCTAATTACAATATTAAATTTGTTAGTTTCCAATTAATAATTGATTATATTTATTTAATCAGGGTTATATAATAATTTAAATAATAATAGTCAATTAAGCTTCAACTGTTAATGCTAAATTAATATTTAGTGAGTGATATTGATATTCTATTTTTAACACAGAATTTGATTGCAAGCTGACATAATGAAAATATAATTTATGTGTATTAATCTAATCTAATCTAATATTTAAAATTATATTCATTTATTAAAAATTTAAACATTAATTTTTAAATAATAAAATTAAATCTATATATTACTTAATAGAATTATAAAAGAAATCGTTCAGGGGCCAATCAAAAAAATTTATTTTTAGTTCAAGTTCAAGGGGTTAAGTTCCATTTAAAAAAATTTTTTTTGCTTCAGGGGGCTATTCAAATTTTTCAGGAGTCTAGAGCCCCTCCGCGCCTCCTCCTAGTGAGGCCACTGGTTAAGTTGGTCTCAGTGACCCCTATAACAAGGGGGGGTCCGAAGCAACTGCTTCTATAAATTTCTATGGGGGTACTTTTTTTTTTTAAAAAAAATTTTTTTATTTATTTTTTTTAAAAATTTTTATGGTCGATGTTTAGCAAATTAGTTTGTTATCCGATATTTCCTATCATAAAATTATTTTTCCACTTTCAAGATTTGGCGCAAAATTAAAATTTTATCAAAGGGAATAGTAATAATTTAAATATTAAATCTTTATATGATCATTTATAATTTTTAGATCATTGTCAAAATATGCCCAAAAATATTAACCAAAAAAAATATAAATGCTTGATTAAAAATTGTACATATCATAATATAATAGATGATAAATGGACAGATCATATTAGAAAAAGACATGGTGGGCTTAATTTTCACGATATAAAGAAAAGCTTTGAAATAGTGGCTTTTAAAAATATTTCTCAAAATTGGACAAATAGCAAAGTAATTTTTTTAATTGTTTATACTTATTTATAAAGGGTATTAAAACACAATTTAAGGAAAAAGAAGTAAAAATTGGCAAATCAATGCTGTTAGTATAATAAATATTTTTATTAATATGATTATTTTTTTAAAAGTGTACTAATAATGAAAATATGTTAGAAGAAAATATTATATCTGACTCAATGATCATAAAATTGGTGAACCAGAAGTTATTTTATTATTCTTATTTTTTATCTACTTTAATATTTTTTATAGGCAGACATAGAGCAGAGATTTGACAATGATGAAGAACAAGTAATACCTTATCTCTCTACTGGTAATAAATATTAATTTATCTTAAAATTTTAATGAATACAACAGGAAGAAAAAGAACTTACACCCATTAAGATTAATCTGAGTATGGCTATGGAACAAGAACAAGGTGAAGAACCACAACCAAAATTTTTATTAAAACACAAAAGTAATACCATAAAGAATTATTTTCAAGTACAACATTTAAAAAAATATTTATTATTAGATTATATTTGTTTTAAAATTAATAGGCAAAAGATATTATTTTAAAAGATACTTCAATGTCAATGTCTACTCACTCTTTTTCAGCTAAAGAAAAAGTTCAAGAAAAACAAGTAATATAATATTTAAATAAATATAAATTTATAATTATTATCATGTCAAAGATAAATATTATGGACACTACTACAGTCACAGAAGAGGATCAACATCAAGAAGAGATGCCATCTGGATCTGGTGTTGTGGGATTGATAATAATGGAGAATAATGAGTTATCAAAATCAGCAAAAGAAGTTAAACCCCGATTTAATGTGAAATATGTTATGTTTATTTTATCTTCCCTTCCCCTCCCTTTTCTTAGGAATTAAATGATCCCATCAATATTGTTGGAAAAAGAATTGACAAATTTATAATTGATAAATATCTAGAATTAGGAGCTCTCCAACCTAAACATTATTTATTCCCCAAAGATATTAATAATAGAAACAGACCTTTAATTAAAGTTTTTATTTTACCTTATCGTCTGCTTATAAATTTTTCTGCTTTCCCAAATTTAACAATTTTATATAAATATTTATTAACTATTCCTACTACATCATGTACTGCCGAAAGGGTCATGAGTAAAATTAAACTAATTAAAACAAGACTTCGTAGTGTCATGAAAGATCCATTTCTTAATAATTTAACCATTTTATCAATGGTAAATAATTTATTTAAACAATTAAATATTGATGAAATTATAAATTCTTTTGCTTTCTCTTCCCCTAATTTATCTAAATTATTAATTTAAAAATAATATTTTTAAAGCATATATTTTTTACATTATATTTATATTATAATAAATATTGATGCAATAAAAATTATTTTTGAAATTTATTGGTGTTAAAAAATAATTTACAATGGGGGGGGGGGTACTTTAGGGGGTATTCTGCTTCTATACCTCAAAAAGTATAGGGGTCACTGGTTGGTCTTATGGGTGTTTATTGTAAGGCGGCCAATTTTTAGATTGTTAATTTTTTATCGATGTTAGAAAATTTAAGGTTTAAAAGCGTTATAAAGATTATTTTTATTTTTAAATTATGTATTTAGCTGATTCTTCTTTCGGCATGCTAATTATTCAATTTTTTTGATCTTTAAAAGAGCAAGATATTTGAAGATTTTTAAATTTTGAGGAAATGTTAAATCCTGTATAAAATCATCAGAATAATTCCACCCCACAACCAAATTAGTCAATTAATTGAATTAATCAGAGCTTTTATTTAGTAATTTTTATTTGTTTTTGAATACCATTCATATTTTAATGTATTTTGGGAATCTGTGTATAAATTTAAAATTTTGTTTTATAAGTATTTAAAAAAATTATTTATTGAATTGAAAAAGCTTTTAATTATTATTGACGGATGGCATGTCAAAATTGATGCTAAGTTGATTTATAGAAAATAGATATTTTATCGTCAATTATTATATCCTGACACAGGTTATTTTTACTTTTGTTTTATCTTCTTTATTTTACTTTTGCTCCCTTTTCTCTCTCCTTATTCTGTATCGAACTTTTCCTTTCATCTATTATTTGCTATCAATTTTCTCATCTTAAAATTAGGTCCCCCTTTGCCTTTAAAATCTATTATGTATATAAGCATCTTATGGGTGTGGGCTGTGCTTATTTTGTCCTTTCCTCATCAGCCCATAGACGTTTAAGTAATAGTCCTTGGACTATTACGCGTATAAGTACGTGCGGCTTGCCCACAAACGTGTGAGGGGCTCCTCATTTTTATTCCCTTTTTAATTTGTCCAGTCAGATGGATTATGAGGAAAACCTAACGTAGCTCTGTTGTTTCCACAACTAGAGGGCGAAAACGTTCTATATCACGTATCACGTAATTTAGTATTTTCAAGCTATTCCCAATTTTTCTTATTAGAATGAATTTAGCAAAGGTTAACCTTATTTTTCTTATAAGTTACCTTCATATAATATGTTAGTTTAATTTATTTTGGTAATTAAATTATTTATTATGCCTAATTAAATTTAGCTATATATAAATATTTTATTTGAATATAATGAAATTTATATAATATGGAAATGGAGCTTACCACAATGAAATTAATAAAAAATAATAAAGTTTTATGATTTTTTGAGATTATGGTTAGCTATATTTTTGATAAATTATTTATAGCAAGAAAATAATTACATGGTTATGAGTGAAGAAGAAGCAACAAAATATGTTACACAATTAGCTGAAGATGCATGTACTAAAGGGGATTATAAACCAATATCAATTTCTGCTTACACAAGTATGATTATAAATTTTGAAAATCACTCGATATTTATTCAAATATGTAAATAAATTTAACATAATATAAAAGTTGATATTATAAGTATATTTTATAGAATTTTATTTTATAGTATTTTATATGAAATTTGTATTTTTCTTAATGCAAATAAAATATTAAAATGTTGGTTATAAATATTTATTTGGGCTAGAAAATTTTATAATTATTAAATAAATTAAGAAACTTTATACAATAAAAGTGTTTATCAAAGTTTAATTCATAAAAATAGAGAATTCTTCAGGTCAACCCAGTAGATTCTCATCTCCCCTTTTTATATTTTCCATAAACCTAGACATTACTACTTCAAACCTATTGCAACTTGTAGGTCGACCAGATTTCCCATCTTTCTTTTTGTCAGACAGATGAATATGTCCCTGAGATAGTTTGGCTATTCTCCACTCATATTTTGTCATAAGTTTATGGCAAACTTGAATCTATCCAAAATTTATAATTATCTTAATAATTTTTGACAAAACAATTTCGGATTAGGCAGTAATGGGATGTGAAATTACTGTCACACCTGAATAAATTTTTAATTAGGTGTGATGGGCCTTGCCAAAAATTTTGCCAGGTGTGATATGGAAATTTTAATTTTTAAAATTGATTTTTATAAATATAAATTTGCAATTTTATAATTTAATATAGTTCTTTTTGAATAAAGAATAATTTTTGAAAACAAAAAAACTTTGCATATAAACAACATTGTCATAAAAATTAAATTGAATGATAAAAATTAGATTGAATGAAAAAAAAATCTCTCAACTCTCGTTCAGCAATGGAAATCTGAGAATAAATAAATTTAACTAAATATATTTTATTTTCATTTATCTTTACTATATAAACTAATCATTTGCACTCAAATTATAGTTAGTCAATATTTATAGGAAGATTAAACATCTTAACTTATTGTTTAAATTTTCTCATATTTACCTACAAATCTAAAATACTCAATTATAATTATTTAATGTATAGATAACAATAGTTTTTCCTTTATATATAGATTAACAAGTTTTTTTAAAAAATGTACATTTTATTAATTTATCTTTTCTCTATATGTTCTTAAGGTATATTTTTTTAAGCCTTTCCTTTGCCTCTTAATTGTTTGAAAGGGTTTAACCTTAAGACTAAAGTTTTTGAATGATTTACCACTGATCATAATAAATGTACAATGATTGTAGAGTCTTGCACATACTTAATACTTAAATTTTTATTAATATTCAAAGAATGTTCGGTAATCTGAGCACAGATTATTTTCCCACAATAAATCAAGTTGATATATATAAACAAAAATTAATAAAATTTTGACAAACTTCTGAAAATGATACAATAATTATCAAAACCCTAAAAAAACAGGACAAAATTTCTCAATAAAGAAAAGATGCCACTACATAAGGTAGGCTTAATTCTAGATCTGAATAAAAGTTTTATGTTTTTCATAGATGAAGAAGTGTAAGATATATAAACCAACCTTATAAATTCTAAATGATATGAAATTAGATGGTATGCATAAGTCAATGGTAACTATTATTTATAACTTTTCTAATTCATCCTACACACATAAAAAAAACCGTATATTTAAGATGAAACATTTAGAGAATTTCTAGGTGATTCTGATGAAGCATCAACATCTAAAAATAAAAGTAGATTCATACTTAAACAAATAACAATGACAATATTTTGCAGTTTTAGAAGCAGGAAAGTTCATTTTCTTTCTTCGAGAAAGTTAGCTACTAAAATTTTGTTAGCTGCTGCATAGGCTTCTAATGAAAGGTTATTTTCTATAGCCAATCGCTTATCAGAGGAAGGGCGAACACAATTGTGGATTTGGAATTGGCCTTGAGCGATTATTTATGCATATTTTACATATAGAAAATATTCGGATGTTTCTCCTTTTCTAAGATGACATCACAACTGCAAATTATAATATTTTATTTATCAAGCTTCATTGCTTACGTGTGATTTGATTAAAAATTTAAATTTTATAAAATAAAATTCCAATAAAATTTCAATAAAAAAAATACGTCATGGTAAAAATAATATTTTTTTTTTCCTTTTTAGCTTTCACCTTTTCTGGAGGTAAGCTCCTTCACTAATCTATTATATTATTACTCATGCTATCTATTTTTATCTTTGTATTCTGATCGATTTCATTTGTATCGATCACCGGTGTATCATTTTCGAGGTCAAAGTATCTTGATCTCCCACCGGTGTATCAAATCAGTATCGACCAGATATCTCACCTGAGTATTCCCAACACGGAGTTATCAAATCGACAGATATCCCAATCCTGATTTCCCATATATTTGTATTTCTGATCGATTTCATTTGTATCGATCACCGGCGTATCACTATCGAGGCCAACTTGATCTCCCCCACCGGTGTGTGAAATTAATATCGACCAGATATCCCACCTGAGTATTCCTCACACTGAATTATCAAATCAACAGATATTCCAATCCTGATCTCCCACTGGTATCAATCCCGATGGATCTCCCACCGGAGTATCGTTATCAAGTCCATTGCAACTTGGTAGACATTGAGCTTGAACGGCCCCCGAGGTCACCATCATCCCATCATCCTAGCGCTTGCCAAGTAATCGTTACCATTTGACCCACGAGTTCAGCTGGCCGTCTTTTTTGGTTTATTGGACAAGTATCCTAGCACCCGGCTGTCCAAGCCTGTCGGTGACCGGGTTTGCATTTCTCAGCTCAGAAATTTATCATATCATATGTCTAAAGCCATACATCATCGAAGAAAAATCCCAAAATTTTTAGCTCCTTACCAGGATTGAACCTGCGTCCTCTGCATTCTTCTGTTTCCAAGCATACATCTAACCCATTAGGCCACTCCAATAATTCTTTGTTAATGATTTCTTTTTTAAATAAAAATTTTGATTTATAAATTGTCTTACTTTGTGTTATTAATATGAAATTAGAGAAATAAAAACTATGATAGAATAAATTCACAAAGCCTAAAAATATAGTAATAAAGTTTTGAGACTTCGAATTTTTTTCCAATAATTTATTTATTTTTCCATCTGTTACTTTTTACTAAAATTTATAATTTTTATAATTAATTAATTCAATTAATATTTGATTAATATGTTTTGTACAAATCCATAAAATCTCCAGATTATTTTTCAAGAAAAGGATTGCGTAAATTGACAAATTGGATGACTATCATAAAATAAAGAAAGAAAAATATATTTGTCCTAAATGTCGCAATTTTATAGGAAAAATTTTATAAATTTGTGTTATCAAGTAAGCTTCGCAATCCCAGTAGAGTTACATTTCTTTGTTACTAATCATGGGAAAAGGGCATGCGACGGAATAGGGGGAACCGATAAACGCTTGGCTCGTGGGCCAGTTTACAGCGACCTTATGATAATTAAATAAAATCTCCCCATGAATTCCTTAAATTCGCTAAGGAAAATATAAAAAATATTTATTTTCCCTATAAATCATTAAAGAATATCAAAATGAGCAAGAATTTTTAGAAGAACGATTTTCAAGAGTTCTTTCCATTCCCGGGACACAAAAAATTTATGCAGTCTATCCTGTTATTTTATCACAAATAAATACAAAAATATATTCCTGTGCCATTCAAGCTAAACTAGAAAATATCCAAAATAGAGGCGAAATATCAACAAATAATATTAAAGGGTATGAAACATGTTCTTATCATAATGAATGGTGGGTGGCATATATTAAAGACATTATTAGAAATGCTGATTTTTACATCCAAGAATACTTTCTCAATCCTTTTATTATCTATCAATACCAGATATTCTAATTATCCCGAAAAATGATATTATCACTATTGTTTACTTCTTGACAGCCACGGGAAGAACCTACATTTTAACTAATGGTAAATCCAAAATGGCAATCTATAAATTAAATTCAAGGAGATTTAATTAAAATTATTTTAAATATTTTATTATGAAATATAGTGATGTTAAAAGTTACTTTTGAAACATAACTAGTTACAGTTACTAGTTACATTGGCAAAAACATAACTAGTTACATTTTTACAAAAGTAACTAGTTATTAGTTACAGTTAGTGTTGCGTAATCGGCTAAAAACTACGCCTAAGCCTAATAAGGCTAAGCCTAAAAATCGGCTAAGCTTAATTAGGCTAAGCCTAATCGGCTAAGCCTAATTAGGTAAGCCTAAAAATCGGCTAAAACTAAAAATCGGCTAAGCCTAATTAGGTTAAGCCTAAAAATTGGCTAAGCCTATATATATCTGCTAAAATTAAATTAGTCAAAATTCTGCATCGATGCTTAGTATTAATTATTATTTATTTATTTTAGTAAAATAATTTATTTTATTTATATTTAATGTAAATATTTTATTATTATCAACAAATAAACATGATATGATTTAATATTTTTTATTTATATTATTATATTTTGAAATGAAAATAAATTTATTTATTTGATGTTATTTTAATAAAAAAAATAATATGCTGCTATATTGTAAAATTGTAATATTCTTTTTAATATAATTTATTAGTGATTTTTACAATCTTCTTTATAAATACATCTTTTATTGAGATTGTAAATTTTATTAGATAAATAAACAATCTTTTAGGTGAAATCTTTTATAATTTTTTTATCATTTAAAATTATCTATTTTTTATTAAATGAGGTGGATTTTATGAAACTTTTTTGATGATTTTATATTATCTTTTTAAGGATAATATTTTAATGTGACAATTGTCATAATCGTTATTTTATAAGTTTTTTGAATTTTTTTGAAGAAAATAGGTTAAAAAAAGTATTAATAACATGTGTAAATATAAATTTAGTGAAGATGTACCAAAGAAAAGTGACAATTGTCATAATCGCTATTTTTAAAGTTTTTTGATTTTTTTTGACGACAATATGTTAAAATAAGTATTAATAACATGTTTAAATAAAAATTTAGTGAAGATGTACCATAGAAAATTGGCAATTGTCA